TTATAGCGCGACTGTTGAAATTAAGTGTATCGCAAAGTTATATTCAGAAAGAATAAACTAGTTTTATTTAAGAAAGGACTTGTGTCTCTAAAGTTTCGTCGGAACGAATTTACGGAAAATTAATTAACAAACGGAGACGTAACATTATATTGTGAATATGCCTTGAGTAATTATAAGTACGTAAGAGTTAAGAACCCAGACAGTGATGTATTTTTATTCTTCTACACTATGCTTTAACACTAGAGAATCTGACAATTCTGTTTGATACAAGCATAGGAAGCAAACAAAGGCTCACAATGTTAGCGAAATTGCTTAGAGTTACACCCACCAACACAGCACAGCCCTAATGGTCCTGTATGCTTGTCCTGGATGCGACACCACAAACGCCTTTAAAGGGATTGGAAAAGTGAAGTCATTGAAGACTCTACTGAAAATGCCTAAGTTCGTTTCAATGCTTCCTACGTTAGGAGACTCGTGGGATATAAGTGCTGAACTCATGGACAAGCTTGATGCTTCACGGAAGATCACGAGTTAAACACTTTGATGTCACGTGTGATTCATCTTAATAAATGAGTCGTATGTTAAATAAAATCGGCTCAATCTATCACAAAATATAGATATGGGGACACTTCCCTCTTGTCTTAAAAGTTTGGAGCAGCACATAAGAAGAGTAAACTACCAGGTTGTCGTCTGGAAGAGAGCGTGTATCCCAGAGTCTGACGTCCCTGATGTAACGAATAATCAAGGTTGGACAACAATGGGTGGTTCAATGGAACTTCTATGTTATGAAGGCAATGTGCTTCCCCAACAACTGGTAGATATCATATAAGAGTCAGGAGACTCAAGTATCGACAATGACTTAGATGCTGACGGTCCATTCCTTGACAATGCGGCTCTAGACGGTTACATAAAAGACAGTGATGTGGAATGAACAAATTATTTGTTTATGGACTGCTTTTGTTAAATTTACTTATATCTGAAGTTTGTATTATGAGAGACTATCATATCAAGAATACTGATCTGTAATTTGAGTATTGATGTTACTATATTAGCCATGATAACATGTAAATAAGTACATTTTCATAAACAAATACTTGGGTAAAACTATAACTTCGCAAAATGTGGTCTTATTTTGTTTAATGATAACTTGAGGTATGAAATGCAAAATATTCCATATTATTGCATTAATTTATCCTTAAACCATAAATATGAGGTTCATGGTCATTTATTGTGACCAGTTTGAGTTGTTTGAAGACCATAATTAATCGTAACATGAATTTGTGTTCATTTGTGGGTATAAAATTGTAATTGGTGAAATAACTTTGAACAGTTTATCAATGAATTTACAATAAATCATAATGCGATTTGTGTTAATAACTCATTATCCTTCTAAAGTTATTATTTAGTGATTTTACAGAAAGTATTGTTACGACAGCGGAAGTCATGCGACTCTCGGAGCATGCACGCAGGAGTTTCTCGAAGGATCATGAATTATCGAGGAACCCCGCGAATATCCGAGTGTTTGCCAGGCGCCCACTTTTTTAGTATATAAGCCCG